ATTCTAGTCGTTCACAACGCATGTCGAGTGAGAGAGTGAGAGCATGATATCAGCATAATGAGTGAAATACCTTCTGTGATGAAATATATCAGTTCGTTTTATTCCTTTCATGAAATACCATTGCACCTTTATCTTTTGCATCATTTTAGGATTTATTTATTTATAGCTTGAGTAATTATTTAGGCCTTTATTTATTTATATTGATGTATTATACCATCAGCTAAAAATAAAAAAAATTCCTTTGGTAATCCACAGGTATTTAGTTGATTTTTGTTTTAGTTGATTTTTTCTTTTATTTTGTTATTGTGTATATTAATGTACTCCGTTTTTTTGTATTGTTTGTTATTGTTATATTCTTTTATGTTCCTTGAAATGGAATACAACAAACAATAAAATACTTAAGCAAATTTTTCCTTTCTCGTTTCCTTTTTGCTGCTCCAAACCACCGCTCTATATTTAAAGAAAAACCCTTTTAGACATTATTTTAAGTAAAAGATTCTTACTAACACTGAACATCGATTCGGTCATAAATCGGCTACTTTCAAAGCCACATAGACATATTAGCAGCTTCACAAATTACATGTTCTGTCTAATATATAGAGATTCCATTTGACATTGCAAATGTTGCATTTAAGAAGAGAACTACATGTATGATTATGGACTTGGATCATCAATATTGTTTGATAGGGTTGTCTAACGGGGAAATGCATGTCAATTCAATTACATAAACTGATTAAGAAACATCTAATATTTCTTTCTTTTTAATCAAAAGATATCATTTGAGATATTTATTTATTTTACAAAACATAAAAAGTCTGTTCTAAATGGTTTTAGTCAAGTAATCACATGGAATGAAGATTTTCGTCTAAAATGACGGAACATCTGGTTTTAATATGAAAGATATTCATTACATCATTTTTATTTGTTCATATAAAATAGTGTATCATCGATATAGGCCTACATGTTATATTAAGATAAGAGCATAAAGAAATATATCAAGACTCTAAAAACTGTATCTGGGTGTTTGTACACGGAAGAAAATAGAAAATGTTTTAAGGTAAATGTATCTTCCACTTCTGGGAATGAATCATTTCTATGAAGCTAAAATGTCGATGGCTCAAAATATCAATCCATCTCGTCTGGCTTTAATTGCGTCAGATAAGCTCTGCATCATGCATAGTATTGCTTTACCGATCACAGTAGACTAGTCTCAAATCTGTATAACGCTTCATGCCAAACAACTCAAATGATATTCGTATTGTAAGGTATACAAAAAAGCTTTGCTTAAAATGTGCTGTGATTTTATCTGAATCATCGGATCGCCAGGCAAACAACATCTGTCGGACACTTACCATCCTTACTGGACACTGTAAGTCTTCTGTGCCCGAAACATAAAGAAACTTTCGCCGACAAATATGCCACTTTACTAATATATAAAAACAAAATATCATTCATCATTTCCCGAAAAAACAGAGCCATATTGGAAACTCACCTGTTACTGGTATGTGAATACAATCATGTAGCCATTCTGGTAATCAACCCAAAGCTATAAACTCGCCAGGCACAAAAATAGGTATCACTTCAAAGAGGCTCGAAAAATGGTTGAAATTATTCTGTTCAAAATTAGGCCTTGGTTGCTCTGATTATTATCAGGTTTTACAATCATGTGACAGAAAAATTCGAGGCCTTTTTTTCCTTCTCTCAGTCCACCAGTCACGATTTGTCTCTCAAAATGCCTTACATGTTCTCCAGGGGATCGAGGTACAATACACACGATTAACCATCAGCCACATGCGCGACTGGAACGATATCTTGAAGAATACAAATGTCTCTGTCAAAATGAAGGAGAGCATTCAGTCCGCACACGTTCGCACGTTTATGTGGAGCAGAGAATAAAAATGATTTCGACCTCGCGCAATTCCTCTCGGAGTCGATGTGAAGTAGTGATAAAAAGACTCCGCGTCGACTTTCCGTTTGGGTTAGTTATCCCTTTTGTTACCTCTATGAAAGAAAGTCTTTTTAAAAACACACTGAAGCATTCCCTCCCCACTGCACATTCCTCGGACTCCTTTCTTCCACCTCTAGTCATTATAATTATGATGTCTATTCGTCGACATGAACATTAATCACGTGATAATTTGTCGAGTACATTGTTGCTACCTGATTTGTAAATTGCTACCACACCTCACCGACATCTTCATACACAAGCATCAGTCGGTATTCTCTCACTCACAGTTTGGACTCTCACTCACAGTTTGGACTCTCATTTTCTCTCATTAAAAATCCAGATCTCTTGATCAGTGAATGTTACCACCCAGCTATTTATAGTATACCTCTTAGTGGACGGTTTTTAACTGGGGGCGAATTTATCTTCGACACCGGGCATCCAACTTTCACCCTATGAACCGGTCTCTCGCTACACATGCCACAAAGTCGATCAGAAATCATTCATATTAGATTGGTCTAGATAATAGTCTCACTGTGAATAAAAAGTCAGACCTATTTAAAATAAATCCTTTTATTTACTCAGAACATGTAAAGATGGCCTTATACGAACGTATTCCAGAGCAATATGTATACAGTCACAGCGCGAAGGACCAAAATGTAGTTATATCTACAAAAAAGTGACAAAAGACAACATTTTGTTGACCAAAAGCAATTGCCATAGTGACATATAAAAAAAAACCCATAATAAAACAAAGAGGCGTGATATAGCTCAGTGGTAGAGCATGGTTCTCGTTTACACTGAGGTCCCGGGTTCGAAACCAAGTCAATACGCTAGTGCGCTTTGGTAAGGTATTAATCCTCATTGCCAAATCCCTCGGAGAGGACTTAAAGCCGTCGGTCTCCTGATTGTTTACTTTCAAGCATGCACATGCTTTCTTAGCAGTCATGTAAAACATGCATTACATTCAAACATAAATGAAACTCCCAATTGATATAGAACACGAAGGGAAAAAGAATATTCAATAAATCTAACCAAATTTTAACCAAAGTACGCCAACAGATATAACATATAAAGCTATAAAGGTACGAGTTACACTAGACAAGTCACTCGAATTTAGGGGTTTATTCTATTATATACTTTGCCAACGATTTTAATAAAAAATAAAATTACTCAAGGTATTTGCTTTGTAGACACCAGTGGCGGATCCAGGGGGGGGGGGGCCCGGGGGGCCCTGGAGAAAAAAAATCATGTAAAATCACGTGATTTTTACCTTTTTTGGGGGTTGGGCCCCCCCCTGGCGCTCAAGGGGGGGGGGGGGTGCAAATTGAAATTTTTTTGAGGATCAAAAAAAAAAAAGTGCTCACTACCCCCCCCCCCCCCCCCCCCCCCCCCCCCCCAAGGAGCGAATTTTTGGCCGGCGCGTTTTTCAAATTTTCGGGAGCAAAAAAAAAAAAAAAAAAAAAATGCTCTGTACCCCCCCCCCCCCCCCCCCCCCCCCCCCACTGAGCGACTTTTCGGCCGGCGCGATTTTCAAATTTTCGGGAGCAAAAAAAAAAAAGTTGGGCCCCCTCCCCTAAGAAATCCTGGATCCGCGCCTGGTAGACACCGCAATCATCACCACCACCAATTCTAACAAATTGATGTGTAAACAACATCAATGCATCTGGAAACTAATTGAATAGAACTGTTTATTTCCAGGACGATTATTCGGCATCATCTTTATCAGAAGCAAACAATTATCTAGCAAACGCATCTATTATCAACTTTCAGGTAACAATCACCTACCCCAGCTACCCCAAAATGAATACAAATAAGGCGATGATTCTCTGCGTTTTTATATTTTAAATATCTCAAATTGTACACTAGTTGAACGCACTGAAAAGGGAGACCTAGTGGGAGCGATAGAAGTGTAGGTTGGGTGTAGCTTTGATTAAAGGTACTGTGTCCCATTTACAGGCCAAAAAATGAAAAGGTTAAATTGAAAGATAATACTTATTTAAAACTTCCCTAAAAAAGGTGGGACTCGAAAATGTCTTCAAGTGGGAACGACTATTAGTTGTCAAATCGACTTAGGAGCTATAGAGCCATTAAGCAATAGTCTTGATTTTCAGACCATTGTACCGTATGGTCATACGTTTTATGCTGCGCAAAGATTTAATCAGTTTAATTTTTGCCATCACAAGAAGTGGGTAATTGATGTAGACAAATGCTCATGTACCCTTTACAGCTCATTTTATATATATTATTAATAAAGAAGAAAAAAAGCCAGTCAGTCACTCAATAGTGTCTGACAGTGAAGTCTAGCAAGTAAACAGGTTTCTTTGCATAATTTGAACATTAGGACACTGCTAACGTTTAAATTTCACAAATAGGACATACATGACATATTCATAATTCCTGCAAAGTTCTACATAATTTGAGGTTGGCTGCAAAAGGTACCTTTAAGGAAGCGTACCAATCATAATAAGAACTAAAATTGTACTGATATAGGACTTATGGCAGTCATAAGGATGACTTTGTGGTATTCAATATATCAAAAGTAAATCTAGACACAGAGATCATCCGTGTTATTGTTTACTTATTTATTTGTATAATTCTTTTTTGGGGAAAATATCACAGTTTATTTCAAATCTCACTTGGCACTTCTTTTTAAAAATATTTTGTACAAGAAATTAAGCATACCTTTCGATCAAATTTAGGAGGTTTATACATTTTCAGCATTCATCCATTAGTCGACTCAGCGTCTTCATTAAAATGATATCTTTTAAGTATCTCTTTAAATGGAACAAAAAAACTATTGGTTAAAGACTTGTTTTTTCACAATCAATTTGAAAATGTTCATAACTTTAATGAATACCATCGAAAGACTGATACAGAAATTCTCTTATTGATCGTGTGAAAAGAAGTTTTCAACCAATAAACTACCAATCAGATGATCTTTTTTAGAATAAAAACTATTGTTTGATTATACTGGTATGCATTCTATACCCTTCGATTTTGTTTTTACTCCAACATGTCGGAAGGCTTTAACAAAAAGTGAACAATACGTGGCTATACTTCTCTCATAAGCTCCCTTATGCTTATTGACACCATCTCAAAACACACCACTGCATGTAACTGACCAGGAGGGCATGTCTTTGTATTTCAAGAGGATTTGTGCACAGACAAGACAGACAAGTATGTAACGATTATCTTCTATTGACTTCCCAGCTCCTAATTTTGACGTGTGTTCCCTAATGTACCTTCTATTGTGCGCGCTTGAATACTCATGTGATTGCAAGGCGACAAAATCCAATTTTGAGCTTTGTCTGCATGCCTCACGTTGACAGGGGGAGGTGGGCGAGCCGCAGAGCTCACTATATAGCATTGGAAATGATTTTAGGGTGGCAAATTGAGTCCACCAAATGATGGTGATGAAAGTATTCAGAGCATCATTTTCTATTCGTGTAAGCAAGATAAGGATTAAAGTGCATTTAGGGGTTATATCCTTTACTTTTCCCCATTTAGTTGTAATGCTGGAAAATACAAACACTTAAGAAAGAACTACATTCATCAAAAGAGTCAGACATTCAGAGGATTTGGAACACTTTACGCTTTTACCTTCCCATTTGAGAATTTTCTTTCTGGTTTCTCCATGTACCCTTTTTCTGTTCTATGAATGCCACAACGTGGACTATTCCAGTTATACAATACCTTTAAAGTAACTTTTGAGAAAATGGGTCATTTTAACGTCACTGCATGGTAGCATTTTAGATAGAATGAATTATTTCACGAGCTAGATATCAAGACAAACTTATGGATCACCCGGCGAGAGGATTTGCTGTTTGTTGAGAGCTAGAAGGGTATTAACCCAAGGAAAATGATTCAAGTTAACATCCTTCTGCCTCTGAATAGACGGTTTAGTGTAATAAATCACTCTATTAAAAGTAAGACTTAAATATAATACCACCGTATCTGGTTTATTGTTTCATGGGAGTCTAGAATTTAGAATGAAAAACAAGAAATAGTGCAATTCGATATAAACAAAATAAACTTGAATCTTCAAACGTCAATAAATGTCTTTCATCAGCTGTTAATATTTCATGAATTCTCTCTCCGATAGTACCACCTGGGCGACCTTGTAAAAGGTCAAAGGTCATTGTCAATGTCGTGAAAGATGATGATTGAAAGGTATTGATAGGGTAGAGTGAAGGAAAGGTTGCATGAAAGAAATGTAACGTGGATTATATGAGTTTATTTGTTGGTCGTGGGAGGGTGAGATGCGTATGTGCCTCTATGTGAGAAAGACAGAGTCAGAAAAAAATGTAAATATGTGCGTGTGCATGCGTGTGTGTGTGTGTGTGTGTGGGTGTGCGTGGCTGTGTGTGTGAAAGAGAGAGAGAAATAGTCTTTAAAAAGATATAGAACGGATATTATAATCATGGATGAATAGTGGATAATAGGTTAGAGATGCCGTTGGTCTCACGGATACGTCACTGGACTGTGGATCAAATGACAATAGTGTCCTTTGACAAGACATTAAACTACATTTTGCCACTATCCACCCAGGTGTAGACAATGGGTACCTGATAATAATTCATTCTTTGAATGTTGCTGAGCGCCTTATTAGGGCAGCTTGGCTAAAGCAACGAAATCACGAAAAGGATCAAAAGTTAAAACAGCTTGCCGTACAATGTTGCCATTGGAAGTTGGTTACGTATGAGCATTATGTCTGTTTGCCGTGTCTATTTTCAGAAGGGTAGATTCATTAAATTGCATCTACTTGGCCTGTGCACAAAGCGTCATAGTCCAGCCGTACACATTGCCAACCCCTCCTAAAGTCGATATCTATAATCAATATTAAAGTGTCGAATCCGAATACGAGATGGACTGAAGACAATATGAAGTGTTTATTCGCTTGACGGACGTCTCGCTGCTTTTTAAACCAAACGTTATTTTTGTATGGGTACCTAGAGGAAGAGATTAGAGAGGGATTAGAATCGTTAGATAAAAGACAGGTAGACACATTTCCGTTCACTTGACAGGCTAGACGGCGGCCATGAATAGGGTTGGAAAATATAGAGTCACTTGAAACGTAGAACGGTTATTCAGTTGAGGTCTGTCCTATAACTTCACATATTATTTCGTCTCATCCCTCTTGACTCCCAATACCAACAAATAACACAATAATATACTTCAATTATTGTGGAATAGCCTGACAACGACTAGAATATAACAATCCCAAGAGATATAACAAAGTATACTTTTTTATTTTATAAGTATCCGAGGGGATGTGATGCGATCCGATCAAATTATCCAGCGATTTCTGTTCCGGGATTTATTTCGTTAGAGATAAACGTTTATGATATAGGGTAATAATAATAATAATAATAATAATGATAATAATAATAATAATAATAATTATAATAATAATAATAAAAATAATAATAATAATAACAGTATTAATAACAATGTTGGTTACCCAGGGTAGCCTCATTAGTAGTTATACTGTTCTCCCTGAGGGCCCTGCACACATATCATTACACAGGCTTTAGCCGAGCTACCATGAAAACGTGCTCAAGCATTCAAGGAATTAATCCTACCGGGTTCGCCAGTCTTGCGACTGACATACATGGTGTATAAAATATATGTTAGGATTAATGCAATGGTTAGCGTTAGGGTGCGACGTGGTATAGATCCAGGGTAGGTATAGGTGTTTGGGTGTTTTTTGTTTGATCGTGTTCGAACTGACTGCATTGTCCAATGATCATGTGTCTTAGGACCGACGATGTCGGGTAAGTGAACGTATAGTTGCAGTCAACTCAGCATGCTAATACTTGACTCCTCATATTCGAGCAAACACTAATGCCTAATCGGGAAGGGAGAAAACATCTCGTTTTTCTAGCCTTATATATTCTTGCATTATCTTAACCACAAGGGACACTTTTTTCAAAATTGTTGCTTCTAATTATGCTATGCTCGTTCTCATTGAATTAGAGTAATTATGGAAGGCTATCAATTGAGACGTCAACAGAATAAGCATAGAATGAAATAAAGGTAAAGCAGTAACATAAACATAGCAGTATTGTGGTATCCAGGCAGAAACTCAAGACACTTTAGTTATCTAAAGCTCGTCAAAGTACTGCGTTGGTTTGATTTAATTTTTTGTTATCCAAATCTCCCCGAGGGAATACTTTTTAAACTAAGGTTTCTAGATTATCCGTTGTTGTGTATCACAGGCTAATCCCACAATAATCAGACATACACTACTGGTGAAACGTGTTATAGTGCAATATGTCAGATTTAAAGACAAATAAATGTCCACAAGTCAACAGTTACAACGAAAAAAAGAGATCATGATTAGAAATAGGGGAAGTTGTTGATATTAATGAGGTTTTCCATCGTCGTTGGATGATTTTCGCCATAGTGCACGAGAACATTGTCATAGATGTTTATGTGGGGGGGGGGGGGGGTGCCCCGTATGTACTCCAAATCGACGTTCCTGTGATGGGAGAAGGTATTTAGAGGGGGTGAAGCATTGGAAGGGGTAAGCGAAAGGAAAACCAAAGCGAAACAGGGGAGAGAGATTTGATATGTGATTCGAACGGGAATTCTGTATCTTTCTTGAAATTTCTCAAATTTGTTTGTTATAGAATGAAATTTGTCTATCTATCTTTAATTTGTTCCATAGCTTGGGGCCGGTATGGGAAGGGTGCTATGGGATACACTAGAACAAACTTCAACCCAAGAGGTTTAGAAGCTCCCTCCTCAACTGAATGTGTGGGGTGATTCGCATTTTTGATCTGTTCACTCAGTGACTGCGTTAAGAAGTCAATGGGTTAGAAAAGAGGTCATTCATTGTTCATCAAATCAAATGTTGATTCACTGTTTATCGTATCCAGGTCCAAGGCAAAGGGAATTAGAACGATATTTTCAGCAAACCTAGTTTATCCGCATGAATTATCCGTTCCTAGGGTAATTCCACCCTTGAGAGGTACTAATTTACAGTGCTACTGATGAGGGTGTGGTGATGCGGCTGCTCAACGCGTCTTCTGTTCTCGTCTGAAGCCCTTTCTCTCTATTCTCACTTTTTTGTTTGCCCTCCTATTTCCTCCAGTCATTGACGATGGGCATACGCCCCGCACCCCTAACTAGCTACGTCACTGCGTGCAGTGCGAAGAGCTTGAAAGTTGAACAAGCGCTATTATCAGATTAAAGACAAATGTATAGTATTTTTTTCTTCTTTTGGCTACGGAGTGGTTCTTGAATCGACCATGTGGGATACGCGCTTTTAGCAATAAATAGCGTCGTCAACGAAAGAGGATCAAAATGTTTACGTAAAAGACTCTTGGAATATATTTTTTAAACTGGTTTTTTATTTCTCTGAATCTTCTTTCTTCTCTCTTTGACATATTTCATTCTGCCTTCTTTCACGAATGGCTTCTACCCTGTCGTAGTCAATTGTACTTCTGTAAAAGTTCTACTGAAACCATCGCAAAGGCTCGAACAAAATATCAACCAGTCAATTCTACTTGTCACTCTGTCTTTTACCTTATGAAATTGGTGATCATTTTGATGATATTGATATTTTTTCGACCGAATAGTTTGATTATATTTTGCAATCATTGTAAATTCAGATTTTGACTATAATGTAGGCTATGAGTACGAATTCTAATATTACGTTTAATAAGTATCTTTTCATGTTATAGTAGTTATGTTTTCATGTTATAAGGCATATAAACAAGATTTGATTCAATGCAAGATCATTTGACAAAAACTATGATAAACAAATCAGAATGAGCATGAAAGTTAAGACTCTTCCACATTGCATAGTAATACGACAGGCCTAATTATCTTTCTTTCCAAGATGAATGACTAATTCATACCGGGAGGGTCCAGTGATCTTCTACTGTTTTTTCTTCAATCACACCACATGGTGCATCCTCTTTAGGGAATGAAATGGATGTAGACCATAGGCAAATAGCAATTCAAACATCCATTTACCTTCTCAAATGGCAGGCATTATGGTACCTTTGTTGGCTATTTCATGAATTAAGACCGCCAACTTTCAATTTTGCCGGAAGCTATTGGTTTGTCCATTTTACTTCTTCTTATCCTACGTCTTAGAAAGACGGCAATCTAAAGAGAGAGAGAAGAGATTTGGGAGACAGAAGAAGGAAAGCCTACACAGTAAGATTGTTGACAAGATACCAGGCCTTCGGGGTTTCTTGACGTTGAAGTGCGAAAACCAATTACAAACACCAAATACAACCCGTCTCTCGTCTTCTATTCTCTCAAAACAGCGTACAAGGCGTTTGCAGGATTCAGGCGTGCCTCACCATACATCAGCCTAATAACCCCTTCGTTTCACAGCATGGCGAAATATAACTGTTAACCGCTATCCTGACCAGGGACCCGTTTCACAAAGCCTCCTTCCAATGACAAATGACAAAAATCAGTGACAAATCTGCTGATAATCAATCAGAACCAAGGTTTCACTAGCTTATAACAAAAACTGTCATTTGTCACTGGTGACAAGTTTTGTGAAATGGGGCCCGGGACTTGATTCTCTTTGAAGGTGTGATACACAGACACAGTGTCACTAATTAGAATCGTTAATATAGATTGTAGCTGTACATGAGCCGGAGGTATCATAATTACAGTTTTGGCCTTCCGATCCATATTCCCGCTTTGAAAGAGTCAGTTTGCATGTGTTATGTTTATGCTGCTGTCTTTTCTTGGTATGCTCTCTATTCGTATTATGGTCATGATGATGACGTGATATTATGCCGCCTCCCCCTCACCCACCCTCTTTAACCTCTCTTACTCTCTCTCTCTCTCTCTCTCTCTCTCTCTCTCTCTCTCTATCTCTATCTCTCTCTCTTTCTCCCTTTCTCCCTTTCTCCATCTTTCCCCTTTATATTCCTAGTCGGATATTGTTCATGTGTTCGTCTTACAAACAAAATATAAAGCCCCTTGTTCACATCAAGGAAAAGACCTGCACTCAACACTTTGTCAATTGGAATGGATTTGAATGTATGGATGGGAACGAGAAAGAGACCAAGCAAAATGCGAAACAACTTATTATTTCCCGATGTAATCCCACTAGTCTAGTGGGATTACATCGGGAAATAATAAGTTGTTTCGCATTAATCCAAGTACGGTTTATTCTAAGAATAAACCGTACTTGGATTGTATAGCTTCAGGTATAAGCAATAGACTAATGGCATAGAATAGATGTGTGGAGTTGAAAAGTTTGTCATGAGCACTCATTTAAGCCCAGCACTGTTTAGTAGCCAACATTTAGGTTAAATTATTAAAGACATATGGAAATCAAGTACGGTTTAAATTGCCTTGTTTAAGAAATTCTAAAGAGACAAGCGTAAACCGTTTGCGCACTAAGAGTTGATTTTTATTTATTTGTTTGTTGATTTTTTTAAAGGTGTAGACGTAAATGAGTCGCGCAAGATGATGGGGATATGTCGCTTCATTTACCTGTAGCTTTATATTTCCCCAGGGCATTCATCTTGCCATTTGCGTACATGTACCCAAACAAACAGTAACAAGAAAGCAAAACTGACAAATGCGATTTCAACACTCGGTATTGTTAAAACCATACGAAGCGTGGAAACATAATCTACCATAGTAAGCACATGCTGGTCTATTATAGAAACATGAAGTTTGGTATAGTATTGACATAACATTGCTATGCTTCATAGACATCTTTGGTCGTTGTTGATGTTTGAAACCGGAGAAGGGGAAGCTCTATTAAAAACCTATCATGACAATTTAAGTACCTGCCTCACACTTGTAAGGTGTCTGGACAAATCCCTTGATTGCGAAGCCTTCACGTTCGAATGATTTACAACAAACATTGGAGCTTGTATCAGGAGGAGGGGGATTTCAAATTTGAATGCATCAACAATAGCTAAAATAAATGAAACGTCAGAATGGATAGGATTTTTACGCATGAGTTTGTTCTCTTATGCCCATTAAGGAAAACTTTCTTCAAGGAAAACCAACTCCTTTTCATTGAGATGGAGGTATAATTCCCTGGCTTGCAAGTAAGAGAATAGCCCCATCTGTTCATTAGGCCTAACGATGTTCATTCGTCGCTCACAAATAGATGTGTTGTTGATGTTGAGATCAGCGTTATATGCCAATCAGTTACATTTGACTATTATCACCCACATTTTTTTCATGAACTTCAATTATACAATACTAAATTTGTTTTTAAAGAGATTAAGATTTGATATCTATTGTCTATGTATTATCACGAATTTATCTTCATAAATGAGTTTAACGCATTTAGACAACGTTTAAAAGCATATCTTGTTTCATCCATCCAACTTGTAATCGGCGCATTCGTGGAAGCGCACATGAAATATGTAATTATCCTTAATTATCTAATCTTTTAATGCAAATGAGAAACAGATTTCACTCCAAATTAGTGTTTAAATTACACTTTGGAAAATGGATAACATCTCACTATAAAGATTATTACCCACTGGTTTCCACTCCCAACGGATTAATCCATAATATAACTCCCAGAACAAGTGGATTTCCACTACGGTGCATTGTCTATCCTATCGGAAACAAACCTAGACAATCAATGCCAGTGTCAACGTAGAGGGCGGCCAAGTATTACATGACAAATTATAATTGAGTTCTGTGCGATCTCTAAGCCAGGATCTATATATAAGGATATTTTAGCACCTGTACAAATGACCCCATCGTATTCACTGATCTTTTGCACATGCAGACGTCCCACTTTGTACATTTCAGAGTATTCACTGCCAAAGTGATGACGGTGCTACATGAATATCTTTTGTTTGCCCTCTTGAAAAGCAAACTTCCACAATGGATGACGGCGATTGATGAAGAGACTGATACTAGAATGTACCGCAGTTGCATAAATGAAAAATGATTACATAACTTTCATGAACACGCATCAATTAGTCGTCTCGAAGAGTTTTACAGTTTTGTAACAAATTAATGACCTTTATCTGCCCATGTGCACGATAGTATATCCGACGTGGCTTATTGGCTTGCTCCTAACCACACTATACAAACAACAACAACAGAAGAAAACAAAACCAAACCCAAAATATAAAAAATAATAAAAATAAGGTAAAAGAAGAAGAAGAGAACAGGGGGCAAAAGAAGGCAGAATAAATAATAAAAATAAATAAATAAAGGGAGATCTGATACAAGGTGAGAGAAGAGATTGGTACTCTATTTTCTTCCTCCACTCTCTTTGCTTTCTTTCAAGTCATTCCCCTAATACAAAAATAGTGTGATAGACCATTTTCGTCATGTAATCATTTGTAACCCTCTACGTTGGACAAACCATAATGTTTGTCCTACCTAGCAACAAGTACCCATTTCGCATTCTGATTATTGAAATACAATTATTCGTAACAGGTGAATGAAATAATTTGTAATGAGGCACTTAACGAAGATTTCTGCATTAAATTTGATTTCATTACGAAAATGTTATATTGCAGTGAAAGAACCAACGACCCCTCCGCTCCACACACACATCAACCATGGTAATCAGGTATGATGGTAATGATGCTATGAAAATTATAATCCCGATGCTTGCACATTGAACCTTGTCCCTAATGTAAATACAAAACTCAAATGCAAATAAATAATTAATGCAGACAACATTGGTAACGAGTTTTCTTCAGAACTCTATTGGATAGTATATATATATCGTTAAATTTCGTGGAAAGATAAAAAATGTGAATAAGAACAAATTACAGGATAAAAAATATTTAAACTGCGAACAAAACACCTGCCGAAATCATTTGAGATCATTTCTGTATTGTGTCACATCTAGTAGGTAAGTACAAAAAGAAGGGAAGGGGAGAAAATATTGCTTCATTAATCTTGTAATTTATATTGTTCTGTTTTGTTTTGTCGTTTTGCGGGGGTTTGTTTCCAATGGCGACTGGAAGATGATTTGCAAAATTACATTTCAACAGTCCCCCCCCCCTTTTTTAAAAACATTAGTGAATGATATAATTGCAATGACCGAGTTTTTTAAAACTATAGCGACAGTCGACAACGCTACTCATTTTATATACTTAAAATACATGTATATCTCTTTATCTCTTTTTCCAGATGGATGACTATGGAGCCCAAAAGAATCTCCGAAATCGAACTCATCAACCTCGCCAAGAGGATCAGCCCTTCGTACTATAAAGTCCTTGGAAACAATTTGGAATTTTGCCAGGCAGAGCTGGAAAACTTAAGTATTCGAAGTCAACTCGATATACAAGAAGCGATTCATACTATACTAAGGCGATGGACAGAGGGGCGTCCTCTGAATGAAAACAGCAGAGAGGTCTTAGCTGATATTCTGGATGATACAGAGCTGAAAGCGATCGGGGATCTTTTAAGAACTGGTTAGTTTCATTGAAAATTAAAGCTAAACTTGACTCAATAATTTATTGTAGGTACCATCGGGGGGGGGGGGGGACAATACATTGTGCATAATATATCATGTAGATAATAGTTAATACTGTACTAATATTATCATTATCTTAACGCCTCATGTATCATCACGATCGTTAGCAGGTCGGGGGGGGGGTGGGTGCCCTTGGCAATCTCGCAACCTTTAGCGCAAAAATAAAACAATAGACTTATATAGACTAATAATAGTGTTTGCTAGTGTTCTTTTTTTTCTTTGCTTGCATACTTGTAAGTATGCAATTTTACGCGATCAATAGGTTGGGATAATAACAAGTATGTTTAATAAAACGTTTTCTCTTTAGCTTGCGTTTAAAGTAAAAATATTTTATGTTGAGTTAGATTTTGGGGGACTTTGTTACATGTATATTTACAATGGGAACAACCTTTCATTATTTGCAGACACATCGCAAATATTGACTTTAGCAGATCAGCCAACATGGTGAATGTCAGTTGTTTCAATGTCATATATTACTACACGTATATCAAATAGAACACAAATATATAATACGTATCCTAATGTCGACCTAGTTTGCAAACTGAAGGCCCCATTTGAAGTCCTTTGCACTTTTCATAAACTAACCAACATATCTGAATGACTGACAATGACTTCTTATTTTTTCAGGTCATGAGTCACTACTCAAAGGGTCTTCCAAGTCTTCTGGACTTGATCAAAGAGCATCTACATCACAAACACCAGCAATACCCGGTCCGATGAAATCATCGGCTGAGACAACGCCGAAGACAACGACGTCGACGACGACTAAGATCTCAACATCCTCATCCTCTCCTCAATCCTCGGACTCAATCACCGTCATCACCGGGCTCATAGCAGGCTTACTACCACACGATCTGCTACCACAACACCATAGTCATGTCTACAATGCAACGAGTTCAGATACAGTAAAAGTCGTCCTGACTTCTAGTCGTGGTGACGACATAACACACGTTCTGAATCCCAGAAATCATTGCCGCATCCCGACTCCTTATGGGCGTGTCAGGCTCTCCGTCTACAGGAAGGATGACAATGGCGATGGGGGGTTTGCCCGCGACGCATGCGCATTGTTTGCAGACGATTCTGATCGGAGTTTTATCGTCAAGAAATCCTCAGATGGCAAGAACCTTGTGGTTGTTCGTTCCAAGTATGGACAATTCCGCACCGAAGAGAGGCCCTAGTTTAAAGGGAACCAAAACCTTCATACTAAGTAACTTTTATTGTAAATTTTAACAAAATTGGGCAAGGAATAAGGAAGTTAGAGCTTTTTGAAATGACTAGTCACTAGAGGGCGGTAGAATATCCTTTTGCATTCTATATCTTGCTTTCAGGGGAGTAGATTATCTCAATCACAAGGAAGAAGGAAAAACATGAAATTTGATGTACAAAAGGCATGGAGAGTTGTCCACAGATGATGTCATCAAATTGAATACCGCCCTCTAGTGACTAGTCGTTTCGAAAAGCTCTAACTTCCTTATTCCTTGCTCGACTTTGTTTGTTCAAATTTTCACTGATTTTATTCAAATCTTTTAAACTTAACAATAAAAGTAACTTAGTATGAAGGTTTTGGTTCCCTTTAACCCCAAAAGTGACCACGATCGCAAAAACTTTCGAAAAATCAATCAAACTCAAGTTCAATGACCTGGTCCGCGTCCATCGTCTTCGGAATGGGGTATCGTAATTCACCCTTTAAATGGTTTATTCAGTATACAGATTATAGCCTTCAACTTCCGCTCATGGAGCATACTGTATCTCCTTTTCTATCTTGATAATATTAAGAAGTTTGGGCTTATCTATTACATGTATCGATTTCAATATGGTGCTCTTGATGTTTATTCGGAGGGGGGAGGGAGGGGTTGTGATTTAGAAAGAAAAGCAGATGTGTATAGAACAAACTGGTGACGCCCTTGACATTTGAACCATTACTCAAAATGTGCAAATATAATCGTTTCACAACTTTTCGTTAAAGATAAAGCGCCCTTTTTGCGCCAGTTCAACAGTTCAAGAGCCCCCGTCGTTGTCGACACAATGCAGTGATCATGACAAATAACAAGAATATAGATTTATCATTATGTAAATGGGTTCGGTGTCCCGGTAGCAATGAATCACGGTAGGTTTACAATAGTTGGAGTTTATTCAATTTGTATATTTCGCCTTGCAAATCGAGGTATGGCTATATTCTTAACAATAAACCGACTTCCATTTTTCTTTTTTTATTGGGGGGGGGGGGGGATGGGGAGGGGGTAGATTTTGTCAAAAACAGTGTAAAACCTTCTACTAGATGAGTCAAACGTTTTTTTTACCTTCTTCTTACACGTGTGTTGAAAGTAATACTGCCCTAACTGCCAGGAACCGAACTTCAACCTATAGTCAGAGTAAATATTATAAATGACAATAACTAGTGCAAAGTGCTGTTCAAAGTGCTGACATCGCTTGTTCTAAATTCCTTTAGCACGTGTGAGCTATTATTGATAGGATTCTGCCCTAAACAAATTAAGTAACTTAACCTCAACCTTTAGTCAAAGTAAGTATCACAAATGACAATAAATTATTGCAAAGTGTTTATAAATTGAACTATAGAGGCCTCCAGTAAATATAATATTACGATTAGAGCAAATTTAAAGGTCACACAATATATAATTCGTTATACATCACCGACCCAGTTTTAGAAACCGTTTTAGGGATTGTCCGGCAATTTCGATGTGCTGACAGGAAATTCGGACTATTTAAACAGTAAATAGCAGAGGCGATTGGCCACTAATCTTTAATTCACACTATTTTAAGTTCTTGATTGTAATCTGACGTAACTCGTCAAGCGTCTCACAAAGTTTCACGGAAGCAATATCGGAGTTTAAGGTAACTCGCTATTAACTATAATCATTATAATCTATATTATTGCTAATGTAATGTTTGTGGGGAAGATAGTTTAAACATACATTTTGTTTTGTTAATACCTGTGATACTAGAGAATGAAATGAAAATTAATTTCTCTTTCTCTAATGAATCCACAGAAAGTATATAATATAGACATTTAACATTATTACTAGCTATGATTCATTTTGAAATCATCTCTACCTTTTTCTCTTTTCATTTTTTGTCTTCAAATTCGGCATCGATTATCTATTGTTTATTATCATCCACGCATTTATTTCCATGCTGGCGCTGTAAGTCTTTTGAGATAATAAAACAGAGATGAGTTTCTGAATGATTGAATCTATTGTCAAAATAAAATACAGTGTATTAATGTTTTTTTTCCTAGCTGCGTGATAATCCATGCATAGTTTTCAGGTTGCCCTATTGATCGATCACCTCTCTAATTAGATTCGCAGGTGTAGTCTGGACGGGTCGCATTCCTTTCCCTTTGTTCATAGATATAATATATGCACATTAAATGATAGCGATCATGTGACTGGGTTTGATATAGTTCAATGTTGTTGTTGGAGGCAAGGCTCGTGCGTGGGGGAGTGGGGGAGAAGCCATTTTGTCGTGATTGAAGAAAGACCTAGGGAAGGAGTTCCTATATGACAGTGAGAGTTGGGAAGATGTTGGGCTTGCTGGTTCAAAGCGTTCCCCTTTTTATATTGCTGCTTTTTGTCTTTAACAATCGAACAGACGACCGTCGTTCGGACACCATCCATCCGGGATGGGAGGCAGGCAACAGGCACTCATATCTGCATTACTACCCTAGCCACTATAGCTGTGTATTAAAAACTGTTCTATTAGTTCTCAACATTTCAAACACCACTGTCCAAAACTCAACTGAGTTCGCTCAAAATCGATACTTCAGTGACAATTGAAGACACCTAACTAGCAGCAAAATAAAATCTTTTCAACTTACCGATGTTAGAAAGAATATTTTGAAAATTCAAATCGTGAGTCTAGTGTCAAACTTGCCGATCAGCCACATCGTATTGTTTGTGTGCAGTGTGGGTGTATTTTGTGTAATTGCTGCCCCTCGGTACTAGTACAGCGCTAAAGGTCGATTGACTCTATGTTTTGCTGGAGTGGCAACGGGGTCTTCAATCTACATATTAACTGTAAGTCTTAACTTTAAGCTCACCTCTCATTTGTCTTCACATTTATGACCCTGTATAATGCCCTTTAGTGTAAATTGATGCTTTGAGTAGGCCTAATTGACTCGGGTGGTAAAAGGACATATTTTTATTTATTTTTTGGTCCCGAAATTTGAACATTTGACCGATCGAAATTCCGTTTGGGGGGGGGGGGGGGGGGGGTAAGGTCATCCTTTTTAGGTCGTCCATTAGGATTTTCTTTTTATAAAAAAAAAAATCAAAATCAAAATCAAAACTTATAAGGGGGGGGGGGTTCTCAAAAAACTTACACATTACAAAAATTGAAGGGGGAAGGGTTGAACCCCAACACCCCCCCCCTGCGTACGCGCCTGTATCTTACTAATAATATTCATAGGATCCCATATATTGGCATTGGAAATAATATATTAGCTTTCATGGGTCATCATTGTGAAGGTGTGTATTAATGCTATAATAATCTACGACTATCTTTCGTAATTCCAACACTGTGCATACCCCTTGAAATCCACAGGGAACTATCCCCGAGTCGCCGCTACCTGTATCACATAAACAACAACTCTTGTCTTATTGATATTAGGCAGTTGTTTACATGTCTGGGTAAATTGTCCTAGATCTAAGTAATTTTAAGGAAGAGAGGATGGATTTCCGATATATTCATTCATATTCATATTCAAATGTTATTGTCCAATGACTGGAAATTTGTTTCATTTGCATGTCAGTACAAGATAACAGATTATAAACATCAATACGATACAGATGGGTACAGAATAGAACAATTGACTAGTACATAGGTAACATAAAATGCGATAGTTCAACATGCAGACTAAAATTCGATTCATAATTCAGACTAAGTAGTTAAATTCAATTCTTAATTCGGATTAAATTAAATTCACGGTTAAGATTAAAATCTATTTATGATTCAGATTAAAATAAAATTAACAATTCAGATCAAATTCAATTTATAATTCAGACTAAGTTATTAAATTAAATTCATAATTCGGGTTAAATTAAATTCACAGTTCAGATTGGATTAAATTCATGATTCAGGCCAATTCACTTCATAATTCAGATCAAATCCAATTCAAATCCCGATTACAATAAGTTCATAATTCAGATAAAATTAAACTCACAGTATAGATTAAATTCACAATTCAGATTTAATTCAATTCATAATTCAGACTTAAATTAAACCCTCCTCGTTCTTCAGCCTGATTGAGCTAGGCACAAATGAATTGAGAAACCTGCTCGTTCTGGACCTGAGAGATCTTTATATGACTTTATTTTGATTTTTTTTGGATTTTTTTTCTTCTTTCCTTTCTAGGACGCTTCCCCTATTACATTCCTATATCTAACCCTCAACCATTTCTCCCTCCCTCCCTCTCTCTTTATCTCTCTCTCTCACACTCCTTTATCTCTCTTTCACACTCCTTTATCTCCCCTCTCCCTCTCTCTCTCTCTCTCTCTCTCTCTCACTATATATATATATATATATATATATATATATATACCCCGCTGTATCCCATGTCAGAGAAACGTACATGAAGAGAGGGCTAATATGACTCGCAAAATCGTGTTCATAATCCGTCCATACAGTATATCCCATGAATATGAAATGCCATCAAAAGTTCATTAAACTAACAACTAGGCCTATGTCAAGGAGGCCATATATGATTCTATTGTGAATTTGTTTATTCAACGAAGATATACGCGTATATATATATATATAGCCAGCCGTGATTCAAATCGCACGTGAACACAACAAGGCAAGTTTTTGTATGGTTTGTGCATTGATAGACCCCATAACTATATGACCTCGATACGTATGTCAACGAATTATATTAGTGTTTACCCTTGAGAGTTAAGGAGTTTCATCAGTGCGTTTCCACTTTGTTCCCAGGATATACTAATCACAAGGGCCACTACTGATTCTTCCATACGGATAAGTACAAGACGAACAGGACGATGATCTCCTCGCTGCTGCGGTCGTTGAACATCGCCACGGTACAGGTGGTGACGGCATTGTTCATTCAAACATGCTTTGTCCTTGGCACTGTCAAATCGATTGGTGTCTTCTTCTACGAGTTTCAAGACACCTTGGGTACTACCTCTTCGGATATTGGTATATCACTGGGTTTGTTCAATGCGTTTACATTCGGACCGGGTATGTATAATACACGTTACTGCTTGCCATGAATTGAATGTCATACAACGGACAATCTTTGTATCCATTTGTTGAAAAATAACAAAGAAGTGTACGATGACAAATAATACATTATGTGATCACAAAACAGAAACTACAGTTACTGCAGTAACTAGTTACTATTGTAAATATACAATGGGCCATTTTCGTAATGTAATCAAATTTGATGCACAAATCTTTTTTTAAGTGCCTCGTTTCAAATTATTTCATTCACTTGAAAAATTGTATTTCAAGAGTCAGAATGCGAATTGCATGCATTTTGTGTTGCTGCTAGGACAACATTATGACTTGTCCTACCAAAGAACAAAACGTGGATAAATAGATATGATTTATTTATAAAAAAAAGATTAATTAATACATGATGATGATAACGATGACAATAAGGATGATGCTGATGACAGTGATGATGATTATGATAATAATAATAATAATAATAATGATAATAAAATAGTGATTTTATAACACTTAACAATAATAACAATGAACAACAATAACACTAATGTTGATGGCGATGATGAATCTTATGATTCTGTTGATAAAGAAACATATGACTACCTGGCATCCCATGCAATATAATATCCTTGAGATATTTGTCTTAAATCGTCGAATTTTGCGTTAAAAAATAATTTCTTGCTGGTGTTGTTTAATCATCCTTTTATACAGGACCGATGGTTGCACACATATACCGTCACGGTAAATTACGGCGCCCTCTACTGCTCACCGGAGCAATACTAGCCCCACTTGGTTTGATACTTAGCTCCATCATCACTAATAATATTCAGCTTGCTGTTTGTCTATCGTTAGGGGGTGAGTATGATTCCAACCAAAGCTCTTGCAGGCCAGAATATCCTCGGGGCTCGTATGCAGAAAACCTTACTAGCCTAATCTGAGTTGTCAACTATGTACTAAAGCCTGTGTAGTTAGTTGACAACCAGTTAAAGACCATCTGTACTAGTTTGGCTAGGAGGGATTAGACTAAGCATGAGGGTCACTGACAGGTGGTTATCTCATCAACTGAGCTCTCAATTAACATACGAAAAAGAGGATCATGGGGGACCAATGGTCACCGATTAGGCATTGTTTTTCTATACAGAGGGAGCAAGTAGCTACAAGTAGTACAGTGGGGCCTTAAGTAAGGTTTGATGAACACGGGCCCTGACTCTTAACTTATCACCCTGCTTAAACTAGACTGACTTTGGCAACAACTGCATTTTAGATTAGGACTGAATTAATGAACGCAATAGTTCGTTTAATGTAGGAAATATATCTTGTACACTTTTATAAGCGAAAAATGAATTCTTACATTATGAAATAAACTTAATTATTATGCTAAATTTTTAAAACTACAAATATAATTATGATATGCCCAATTATTTTCGTTTGAATTTCAAAATTTTAATTACAAAAATTTGAAGTTCATTCAGAAAAGTTATCGAAAGCAGGCCAAAAACAAATAATCGAATTTGATAATACTCTCGATTGTCATATCCAGTTTTGTAATTTCTTTGTTATCATTATCATCAATATCCGCATTTTCTAAGCTGACGGTGTGAACGCGTTCTTATCTTCTTTGACTGTGCAGGTCTAGGCGGAAACATCTTGTCACAGTGCTTGGTAACCTGTTTAGAAGCACACGCCCATGATCACTTCTACGCGCTCTTTGGTATCAGCAGGTCTGGGTATGCCTTTGGGATGTTGATCAGTCCATTGCTTGCAGCCTACCTGATGGACATCTACGGATGGAGGGGAGCCATGCTGATCATGGGGGCAATCACCTGTAATCTCATACCTCTAACCGTTATGGTTGATACAAACATTCATGACAAGTCAGAAAATGTGGCCACTTCTGATTCAGTTAAATACCACAACCATTCTGAAGAAATATCTATCAAGGATCGAGACAGGAGTTCACTCCAAGAATGTTCGTCAATGGTGACTAATAATGGCCTAAACAATGATGCCACCGTGGGATCAGAGAATGAATCTATTCTGCGTCATACGGAACACTGTCAAGGTTTGATCTCTGGAACGGTTCAAGATGAATGCGATGAAATGCAAGACACATCACTTCAACAATACAAAGAACCGCTAGGAGATCGTTGTCCCACATCCATGACCACCACGTCTGAACAAGATAAAGGCGATTTGTGCAGTGAATCATGTTCATTGATGGAAATAAATGACAACTTACAATCCCCAACCCACGGCCGACATCAACAGGGAGTGAACGACTTGTCAAGTTCAGGCACCGATCATCCATCTGCGGATACTACCTCGAAGCTCTCTCTCAAAAGAATTCGTCGGACTTTGATGGACTCCGTATACAATCAGGACAGATGTCTAATTGTCATCATGGTTGCAAATGCCTTTGTTGCCATGTTACATGGAGGATGGCATGCTTTCTTTATACCTCGAGCCATCAGTCGAGGAAAGTCTCTCTACTCAACGCTCTGTCTTTTATACTCCACATCTGTTGCGTGTTTTCTTTCGCGTATCTTCATCGGCGTCATTCTAACTTCAAAACTGGTTTCTGGTTACGACCTCTTCCTTCTCCTGAGGCTAGTCAACATTGCCTCGATGCTTGTCGATATCTTCTCTGCCAACTTCGCCGTCATGATCGTTACGTCATTTATTACGTCATTTGCCATCAATGAAGAAAACATGTTCATGATTTTCGTCTCCAAGGAACGGTCTCCTAGCTCGGCCTTTCCGCTCGTTTTCGCCATGATGCAAATCTCTTTCGGGATAGGAGCTCTCGTTGGTACTTATCTGACAGGTATGAAACTTAATGATTGCTTTTCACGTCATCTTGAAATCGCCATTTATATCGTTGTACGATACGAGAATCGAAAGTTCCAAAAAGTTACCCATAGCCCCTGCACAGCAAAGTGCAATACAAGACAAATACAAATACAGTACAATACACATTTCTTTTTAAGTTGCCTCCTCGTCTCCCTCTCTCTCTCTCTCTCTCTCTCTCTCTCTCTATCTCTCTCTCTCTCCCTCTATTCTTTGCTCCCTTATTAAAACTGAACAATATCATTTTAACTTGAATCACGTAAACAAACGCTATTTTGATTGTTCTTGGATTTTTTTCTTGTGTTTAATATGCTGTTTTCTCCGAGCGAGCAAAGACAAATTTAACATTACTATAGACTGGAATTTGTCACTGCTGACGTACGAATTAGGCGATTTGCAGTAGATTCGAAATGACTTTTTTGTTTTCATAGGTTTTTATTCACTTCTCTCAAAGAAATATTGTACATTTATAACATTGGATACAAAATAACAAAATAATAAGAGAAGAGAGGAGGGTCAGGAAGTTGTATATTGAGAAAAAAAAACTGAAAACATTTATTCTAAACTTTCCAAAGCTTCCCATTTCCTTAAATGAATTGAAAGTGTGTCTCTTTCCATTGAAAGTTTTTTCTCTTCATTTCTATTTTCCAACAATCTATATTCTATTTCTTTTGCTTTTGGAGGGTTTCCCTTCTCTCTACTGTGGAAAATCATATATTTAATCAAAATTAAAATGTGGTTCAATAATTGCTCTGTTTTAAAAGTAGTGTCATCTATTCCTATATGAATTTCTTTCCAGGATAATTTCTTCAAAATTGGTAAATTAAGTCTATCTCCACATTTCCCCCAGACTTCCTTTATTGTATTACATTCAAAGAATACATGTTGACGGAGAAACGATCGCCAGGCGGTAGTCTTAAGAACAAAATGATTTCGCATTTAACTCATGATATTCATTTATTTATATCATTCCTTAGGAATGCTGGCAGACATGACGGGAAGCTACACAACATCGTTTATATGGCTCCTGGCTATAGAGGGCGTCATCTTCTTCATGATGATTCCTCCCCGTTTCATCAGATCAAAGTTTCAGAAGGAATCACAAGACTTGCAATCATAATAATTGGAAAAGAAAGTTTCATAAAAAGCGATTTATTACCAGTTACACCCGACCAAAGCGTAAACATTTGGAAAGAACTGGTACATTATGCTAGGGTGCTCTTTGTAGATTTCTCTTCTGCATTTAATGCGATAGTTCCTGGAACCTTGGTGAAAAAAAACTAAGCAGTGTTGTGAGTCCCAAATTATGTCAATGGTTAAGGGATTTCATGATAAACAAGGTGCAACAAGTACGTTTTGGAAATGTTATGTCCCAAGTTAGACGACTTAGCACAGGTACTCCACAAGGATGTGTGCTCTCGCCCATCCTTTATACATTGCTTACTAGTGATTTATCTTGGTCACTTTTGGTTCCACATAGCGCTTGCCCTGCCCTTGTCTAAACGATGCCATCTTACCACTCAGCAAATTAAATTACGCTGACTTTTCGGCGGGCCTAGGTAACTCAGGCATAGATTAGGGGCGTCTGTGTACCTAAGTGTTCGGAGGGGTTCATATTCAATCTCAAAATTTGACAATATAAAAATAAAATGTAAGCAAAACATTCATGGGCTTGGTTAGTGTTACTTTACAGTGCGGATTATTTGTTATATCTATAGACATCAACATATACACAACATATATAAATATGCATATAATTATATACATACGTACCTGCACACATGCATATCCCTTCCTATCATGCGGGCTTGTCCAAAATAAATAATTTGTAAAGACTATTTTGTTAAGATACGTAATTCTGTTAAGTACAGCATACCATGTTCACTACTTTATTGAACATCTTGAAATTTAGTCATTCTGGGATTGTTACATTACTCATTTTTATTTATTTTATTATGATTATTATTATTATTAGTGTTATTGTTATTATCGTAAGTATTATCATTATTATTGTTATTAATATTATTATAATTGTTATCATTATTGTTATTATTATTATTATTATTGTTGATGCTTTTTCTTATATTATTTCATTATTACATTATGTTGTTATATTTATTTATGTAGTAAGTATAATTTAGCGTAGTCCATAACATTGTATCATGTTTTGCGATTCATTGTTCTCTATAGAAGGGCGGTATTACTTCCTGATAGGAAACTGTTTCAAGTTCAAGTTCAAATTTATTGATCATGTTCAATTTCAAATCATTTTCCGGCTGTTTTTTTCAATTTATGTAACATCAATTAACATACGTGTACTATCAATTTATACCAAATTAGGAATAAATACAACACACAATTGATTATGGGTACAACATGGTTTAGGCTTTGTATTGGTATAGATACATAATAACACACATTTTCCCGGTTGAGATTCGTTTATTTCTGTGAAAAATATAGCCCTTTCTATAATATACTTAGGGCAATATACTAACAAGTGTTTTACTATCTCTTTTTCATGGCATCTATGACAAAAGCCAGTGGGATGAATTCTTAATCTGAGGAGATCCTGATTAAGTCACGAACGGAGATGTATGGTGGGCAATAATAGCAAAACTAATACATTCAAAGAGTTAACTATGGTGAATGGAGATGTATATTGGGCATTAATAGATGGGGTAATTGCCTTTTCGGCACCTGTCATGTTGGTAAGGAGGTATATTGACTCCATACTTATTTAATTTGTATATGGATGATTTATCTGTCAAATTGAATAATTACTGTAGAACTGGCTGTTTAGTTGGGAGTACCAAAGTTAATCATTTAATGTATGGTGATGATTTTTTTATTTTTAGTCCATCAACTGGAGGTTTACAGAGCTTGATGAATATTTGTACCTAGTTTGGTATAGACAATGATGTTAAATATAATCCGAAGAAGAGTCACGTTATGATTGTGAATTGTAAAGAACATTGTAAGTTGGTATTATTTGTGTGGTGCTAAACTTGATTTTTTAAAGAGGCTAAGTACCTAGGTCACTATTTTTAATACTGAGGACCTGTGTGATGATAGAGATATTTATAGACAGTGCCGTAAACTTTATGCATAGGGTAATACATTGTGCGGAAAGTTTCATATGTGCTCTCGTAAAGTTAAGGTTTGTAGAGATATGACCCAGAAGGAAAAACCAGTTGCAACTGGTCCAGTTGAACCAGTTTAAGCCAACTGGTAACCCTGGAAATTGAAATGGGCCAGTTGAACCAGACCAGTTGAATTCTAACTGGTCCAGTTGGAATTCAACTGGTCAAATTTTAACAGGTCTAGTTGGAATTCAACTGGTCGAATCCTAACTGGTCCAGTTAGAATTAAACTGGCCCATTTCAATTTCCAGGGTTACCAGTTGGATTTAACTGGTCTAACTGGACCAGTTAGACCATTTGGCAAAACTTCCAACCAGTTGAAAACCTTAATTACTCTATTAAATTAGTAATTTAAAGGTATAATTAGCACTTTTACTAATTAATTTTGTCAATGGCAACAATTTAACCCAGTAGATCGTCTGCAATTTCCAATGTAAAGGCATTGGTAATAAGTGACTTGATCAATTCAATGTGACACACTATGTTGAAAATATTTGTATTTTATCGAATCTATTTTAGTTCATAGTTAATGTTTTCCCTAATTCATGTTTAATTAATTGTTATTTACACGAAGCAATGAAATGTCATAATAATTGGCAATTTGTATTTGTAGCATTTTGAAATGAATTGCACTTAACTAAATCATCAGTAATTAAGAAATATGCTGTAAATTCAGATAAATTGTATTGAAACATGGATGTGCATGCACCCCATATCCATTATGCAAATTAGCTGGTGTCGACTGGAAATATGCACACAGACCAGTTAGAATTTGACCAGTTGAATTTCAACCGGACCAGTTGGAATTCAACTGGTCAAATTCTAACTGGTCAAGTTGGAATTCAACTGGTCAGATTTTAAACTGGTCCAGTTGGAATTCAACTGGTCAAATTCTAACTGGTCCAGTTGGAATTCAACTGGTCAAATTCTAACTGGTCCAGTTGGAATTCAACTGGTCAAATTCTAACTGGTCCAGTTGGAATTAATAGACCAGTTATCAACTGGAAATATGCCCACGGACCAGTTATTAACTGGTGCAACTGGAAATATGCCCGAGACCAGTTATCAACTGGCGCAACTGGCAATATGCCATGCACAGACCAGTTATCAACTGGTGCAACTGGAAGTATGCAAACAGACCCGTTATCAACTGGTGTAACTGGTCATTATAAGGACTGGTTCCAGTTAAATGAAATGCAGTCGCACCAAATATCTGCTTGATGTGCATCATGGACCAGTTAGAATCAACTGGAACCAGTTGAATTTAACTGGTTCCAGTTGAATCCAACTGGTTCCAGTTGAAGTTAACTGGAACCAGTTGGAAATTTCAACTGGTGGTAACTGGTTTTTCCTTCTGGGGAGTGTGTCGATGAATTATGAATTAATATTGTATAAGCGTGTTCACTCGTCACACAACATAACTCTTATTTTTATTTTAGCTAAGAGGAAAACAAGGTTGCACTGACAATAAAATACATGAAAAGAAAGTATTCCCTGTTCGTTATGTTTATTGGGTACTGATGAGGCTGGCCGTACACTTGCAAGGTGTAGCCAAGCACAAGTTGAAGATTCGGAATGAAAATGCATAAATGGTAAATGTGAATATTGCACGGAGATTAAATAATGATAAATGATGAGAATGAACATGAATAAATGCGATGTACATAATGAATGAATAGAGCTTATGACATAGATGAAATGAAGTCGAAAGTCCAATGATAAGAAGAGAGTTGAGAACGAAGGAAGGGGCTCACGCGATGAATGTACGGAGGCTTGAAGGCGGAGATGCAGTTTCGTATTCGTGGCTGAAGAGCGGTGACGGATCTCTACGCTGACGCTCGTGATAAAGATGGCGAAGAAGCTCTCAGGCGAGAAGAGAAGAGAAGAGATGTGGCGCTCGACGACGGAACAGTGGGTCGTTCGATGTTCGATGTCGGAGGCGAAGAGTATAAATGTAGACATCAAGCCGGTGGTGAATTAAGACGGGAGCAGTGAGTCGCTCGATGAATGATCCGGACTGTGATGGAGAAATTCATCAGAGTTACAGTGAGTCGAACTCGATGAAAAAGACGAACTACGGTGAGTCGAGCTCGTGTAAGAAAAGAGCTACCGGAACGAAGAAACTGGCAGCTCCCAGCGGAGAGTCAGGCGCCATGTCGGTGCTGACTATATAACGTTCCACTGGGAGACTGCAGCCCGATGAACACGGCAGAGAAAAAGTGACGTGCCGTAGAAAAGACGAAAGGCACAGAAGAATACAGCCTGGAGAGGAAAATATGGAGACGTCTTGACTCGACCAAGATGAGAGCGGTAGTGAAGAAAACCTCGTGGCGTTGAAAATACGCGGGTGAAGGATGCGCGGAACCACGGTGCTCGATTGGAAGGAAAAACACACGTGGTCCGAATAATGCATATAAAATAAGTAGCGTGATGGAAAAATACAGGAGACATGAATGTACGGTAAAAGTAGGGCGAATGTAAGAGCCGCTACAGGTTGAATTACTTCGAGCGTATTGTACACCGTCATACTGCACATCTTTGGAGTAGATATAAAACAAAGCAGTATAAAACAAACCCGCGGTAGCCTTTAATGAGGCTATGAGGGTGCTCTCACGAATACTTAGGCACTCTAGTGCAAGTAAAATGTTTTCAGATGTGACCAGACGCGGATCCAGGATTTCTTAGGGGGGGGGGGGCAAATTTGAAATTTTGCGAGCCAAATATTGGTACGTAATGGTGACACCGGCAGTGGCAAAAACGTTTTTTTTTTTTTGGGGGGGGGGGGGGGGGGTAGACAAAAAAAAAATCCCTATCACCCCACTCTTACATGCAGGCCCCGATGAATGTTTCTCGTGGGGGGTCAACAGGTGGAGCGCCGAGAAGCTCAGGGGGTATAGGCATTTAATTACTGTCCGATGAGCATATTTTGATATCTTATTAATTTGTTACACTGGCAGGACACAAATTGGTGTTTGGTCCAGGGAGCGGAACCCTCAGAAGCTCAGGGGTCTTATACATTAAATTGTAGTCAGATGAGCATATTTTGATACCTTATTTGTGACACTGGCAGGTCACGAATTGACGTGGGGTCCAGGGAGCGAAGCCCCCGGAAGCTCAGGGTATTGGGCAATGCATTACGGTCAGATGAGCATATTTTGAAAACTTATTTGTGACTCTGGCAGGACACAAATTGTTGTTGGGTCCAGGGCGGAGCCCCCAGAAGCTCAGGGGTTTTATACATTAAATAATCGTCAGATGGGCATATTTTGTACCTTATTTGTGACACTGGCTGGACACAAATTGGTGTTGGTTCCTGGGGCGGAGCCCCCGGAAGCTCAGGGATTTTGGGCAATACACTACGACCAAATGAGCATATTTTGATACCTTATTATAGCGACACTGGCAGGACACAAATTGGTGTTGGGTCCAGGGGGCGTATCCCCAGAAGTTCAGGGTTTTTTTTACATTAAATTATCGTCGGATGAGCATATTTTTATACTTTATTTGTGACACTGGCAGGTCACGAATTGGCCTGGGGTGCAGGGAGCGAAGCCCCCGGAAGCTCAGGGTATTGGGCAATGCATTACGGTCAGATGAGCATATTTTTATACCTTATTTGTGACACTGGCAGGACAAAAATTGGTGTTTGGTCCAGGGGGCAGAGCCCCCAGAAGCTCAGGAGTTTTAGGCATTTTATAAGGATCAGACAAGCATGCAGGGGCCCGCCTTTAAGTTTCAAGTTTCAAGTTTCAAGTTT